GAACACTCCACAAACTACATTTCTCCAGTATAAGAGCTTCATCAAACAGTGTGGTTTGGAACGTTTTTGGGTGATGGAGGATGCAAACTGTAAGGCGATTGCTGTACGATTATTGTTTGCATCTAGTATCTGGTGGAAGCCCACACATTTTAGTGCAGTCACGCACAAACCCACTTCACATGAATGAATACTCTGTCCTCTAACACACATAAGCACTCTCAATGATGAGGGTGTGTGCAATACCCCAGGAATGTGCTAAAAATATGCACGGCTTGGTGAACACACCCCCATAATACACAGCATGTCCAACTATGACTAACAATACCCTCAACGTTCCTCTGCTGTTTTTACTTTAGCATCCATTGCAGGCAACACCAAACTGATGAAAGACACAAAGCACTACTCATGTATTATTTGGCTTTTATTAATTGCTGCTGATTGGGTTTGACATTAAACTAAAGGCCTGGATGCTCTTGAATACTCTTGAATGCTCTACAGTTATTTAGGTTAATTATCTGATAATTTAGTCTCTGAAGGTTTGGCCATTTCTTCTTGGTGACTTATTGCTGTTGTCATAGTGACATAAGTAGAAGTTGGCGTGTATAACAAAGAGGATATGCAATTCTAAATAACATGTTTGCTGTGTCAACTGCTGTCCAGTTGAGGTTACTAAACCATTACAGAAACATCATAAATGAAAATGTAACATCATACATTTTATGTGTTAATAATGTGTAATCGCACAGTTTTCCCACATTTTTGTCTTAGATGCCGCACAACAAGAGCACTGAGTAAGTAAGTGCCCCTCCATCGACCCCAAACCCCAAATTATTATAATGATTCATATTTAAAAACAAAAACAATCAATGCTGTGGTTGAAAAACAGACTCAATAAATTTTCTCTGACCTCTGCTTTTAATGAGACAACTGAGAATGTTAGAACAGGTTTTGACAATTCTGAGCGCAAATATTTGGAGAACATTTTGTGTTGAGTTTCTGAAATCTGTCTAAATCCATATACAGCGGCCAGAGACATGACCAACACAAAACTACATATGTTTTGCATTCTTTTCTCAAAATGTAACTACAATAAACAAAAAATAAAAAACAAGTTTTTGAAGTCCCCCTCAGTCCTTTCGCCACAGGTCAAGTAGTTGTACCACTCTAAGGACGGCCCTGTTCTTCAGAATATCTTTTTTTTGTGTTCACTGTTTTTAAGAAACTGACCACTAAGTGGAAGCATTGCCTTTTTTTTTTTTTTTATCTTCTGTCAACTGAAACAAAGTTCTGTACAGCAGTGGGCCCCAGCTCCCTTGAGAACCACTGGTTTAGAGAATTTGTATTGATATACAGGTAACTACAAAATTTAGTGTCATTAAATGTGCTAAATATAAATATTTTCAAAAATAAAGATGGTGTAATGTTGCTTAGATGAACACTCCACAAACTACATTTCTCCAGTATAAGAGCTTCATCAAACAGTGTGGTTTGGAACGTTTTTGGGTGATGGAGGATGCAAACTGTAAGGCGATTGCTGTACGATTATTGTTTGCATCTAGTATCTGGTGGAAGCCCACACATTTTAGTGCAGTCACGCACAAACCCACTTCACATGAATGAATACTCTGTCCTCTAACACACATAAGCACTCTCAATGATGAGGGTGTGTGCAATACCCCAGGAATGTGCTAAAAATATGCACGGCTTGGTGAACACACCCCCATAATACACAGCATGTCCAACTATGACTAACAATACCCTCAACGTTCCTCTGCTGTTTTTACTTTAGCATCCATTGCAGGCAACACCAAACTGATGAAAGACACAAAGCACTACTCATGTATTATTTGGCTTTTATTAATTGCTGCTGATTGGGTTTGACATTAAACTAAAGGCCTGGATGCTCTTGAATACTCTTGAATGCTCTACAGTTATTTAGGTTAATTATCTGATAATTTAGTCTCTGAAGGTTTGGCCATTTCTTCTTGGTGACTTATTGCTGTTGTCATAGTGACATAAGTAGAAGTTGGCGTGTATAACAAAGAGGATATGCAATTCTAAATAACATGTTTGCTGTGTCAACTGCTGTCCAGTTGAGGTTACTAAACCATTACAGAAACATCATAAATGAAAATGTAACATCATACATTTTATGTGTTAATAATGTGTAATCGCACAGTTTTCCCACATTTTTGTCTTAGATGCCGCACAACAAGAGCACTGAGTAAGTAAGTGCCCCTCCATCGACCCCAAACCCCAAATTATTATAATGATTCATATTTAAAAACAAAAACAATCAATGCTGTGGTTGAAAAACAGACTCAATAAATTTTCTCTGACCTCTGCTTTTAATGAGACAACTGAGAATGTTAGAACAGGTTTTGACAATTCTGAGCGCAAATATTTGGAGAACATTTTGTGTTGAGTTTCTGAAATCTGTCTAAATCCATATACAGCGGCCAGAGACATGACCAACACAAAACTACATATGTTTTGCATTCTTTTCTCAAAATGTAACTACAATAAACAAAAAATAAAAAACAAGATTTTGAAGTCCCCCTCAGTCCTTTCGCCACAGGTCAAGTAGTTGTCAAGTAGTAAATCTTTTTTTTGTGTTCAAGGTTTGTAACAGTTTGAGGGTGATTAAATGATGACAGAATCTTCATTTTTGAATTAACCACTTTAAGCATCCAGTTAGTAGTACCATCCAGGGTACCGGTGGTAGGGAATCACTGCATTAGAGGGTCTTTTTGCCCATTTATGGTCCATCAGAAATTGTGTCAAAAGGCACCAAAAGTCTAGGAAAATCCACAGAATGATGGCGTATATTAAAACCTTCACAATGACCAACATCCATCACCAAATAGCCTATTTAAGATGCCAAGCTGCTGACCAGGGAAAGCATTTAAGCAAAGATATATTAATAAATTAAGAAATGTTGGCATTCTGTTAAAAAGAACCATTTATAGTCATTAAAGTAACCAAACAGCAGCAAATCTGGGTCCTTAAAACATTTAGTTACATTTATTTAGAGCTATGAGTTCGGACTGCTACGGACTGTCAGGACAGCTGAAAGGATAATTGGTGTGCACTTGCCCAACCTTCAGGACTTGTACAACTCCAGAGTGAAGAAACAGGCAGGTAACAAGTGTGTTGGAGCATTGTTGGAACTAAACTCTGCAGGACTGTGGCCCTCCTGGAACTGAGTTTGGCACCCTTGCCACACAAAAGACGATATTTTGAAAAATGTTTCAGCTGTTTTAGTCCATATTATGAAAGCCAATGATCACTTTGAATGAACAGTTTGAAATTTAAGTATAAACAAATTGAAAGTTTATCCACTCTCCAACCTGTGGAGCACCCTAAGGGGACATGGTGATGGAAACAAACAAAAATTTTTTTTTAATCTTTAAAAAGATTTAAATGCTTTTGTGTTCGCTTGCAAAAGTCTACCCCATCTACCCTCTCACCCAGCCACAACCTGTTTGCACTTCTCCCCTCAGGCAGACGTTACAGATCTCTGTGCACTAGAACATCTAGGCATAAAAACAGCTGCTAACACAGAAATACCACCTGTCTTCTGTAATTCATTTCGTAATAACTCATTTTTGCATTTTTCTCTCAAGTATTATGTAAATACATATACACATTTTTACTTACTTATACAGCTATATATAGGCTACACAGTAAATAATGCACAAATCTGAACATAAATCTTCTGTTCCAGATGTAGCCTATACCACATTAGTATTACTATTATTTGTTTTTTTGTTTTGTTTTTGTTTTCTTAGTCTTATTTATTTAAATGTACTATCTGTTCTTAATGTCATATATGTATGTATGTATGTTTGTAGAAATGTTGGCATTCTGTTAAAAAGAACCATTTATAGTCATTAAAGTAACCAAACAGCAGCAAATCTGGGTCCTTAAAACATTTAGTTACATTTATTTAGAGCTATGAGTTCGGACTGCTACGGACTGTCAGGACAGCTGAAAGGATAATTGGTGTGCACTTGCCCAACCTTCAGGACTTGTACAACTCCAGAGTGAAGAAACAGGCAGGTAACAAGTGTGTTGGAGCATTGTTGGAACTAAACTCTGCAGGACTGTGGCCCTCCTGGAACTGAGTTTGGCACCCTTGCCACACAAAAGACGATATTTTGAAAAATGTTTCAGCTGTTTTAGTCCATATTATGAAAGCCAATGATCACTTTGAATGAACAGTTTGAAATTTAAGTATAAACAAATTGAAAGTTTATCCACTCTCCAACCTGTGGAGCACCCTAAGGGGACATGGTGATGGAAACAAACAAACAAACAAAATTATTTTTTTTAATCTTTAAAAAGATTTAAATGCTTTTGTGTTCGCTTGCAAAAGTCTACCCCATCTACCCTCTCACCCAGCCACAACCTGTTTGCACTTCTCCCCTCAGGCAGACGTTACAGATCTCTGTGCACTAGAACATCTAGGCATAAAAACAGCTGCTAACACAGAAATACCACCTGTCTTCTGTAATTCATTTCGTAATAACTCATTTTTGCATTTTTCTCTCAAGTATTATGTAAATACATATACACATTTTTACTTACTTATACAGCTATATATAGGCTACACAGTAAATAATGCACAAATCTGAACATTAATCTTCTGTTCCAGATGTAGCCTATACCACATTAGTATTACTATTATTTGTTTTTTGTTTTGTTTTCTTAGTCTTATTTATTTAAATGTACTTTCTGTTCTTAATGTCATATATGTATGTATGTATGTTTGTACCAAGAGCTCCTGTGTTTGCACACACTTGGCGAATAAAGCTCATTCTGATTCTGATTCTGGCGACGTCGCGGAAAAGGTGCTCTCAAAACAGATGTAGCCCCGCCTTTACAAGTGACGTACGTGGTAATTCCCCCGCTGATTGGTTAAGGCCACTTTCAGTTGCGTCTGTGAACCGCTCGCAGAACCCACGCGCCCAACAGCACCGTTTGTTCGCTCAGTGAGCGCGAAGGCAGCGCATCTCCGGGACTCGTTTTTTACTCAGCACTGATTACTTAATTTAAGCGTTTTATTTCTACATGTCATATAATAGCTGTTTGTTTCAATATTTAATTGTATCCAGTTTTATAGTTTGGAGGTCTGTTACGTTAATACCTAACGTAAACTTCACGAGAGAAGACAGTCTCGTAAAACTCTTTTGTTTGTTATTATGTTTCGATTGATACGGTGTGCTGATGACAAGATGCCGCGCGGATACATATCGTAGTTGTGAATTTAGCAGTTTTCTTATCCTCCGGAAGTGGCGGTCAGTCTGGTGTACCACTAGTAACTTCACTTTAAAAGGTAAGTTAACAACTTCCTCGATTATGCTTAACTGTTGTAGGTATCGGTGTCATTATTTTTTCTTCTTCTTATGTTTTTCACAGTTTTATTAGCCCGGCATGCCGTGCAATCCGGAAACATGTCCATGCATGGTTGCAAGTAACACCGTTACTGCAAGTCGAGACAAAAAAGCGCTATAATTTCTTATGCGTTTAGGAAACTATTTGATCCCGGGCGTAGATGACAGGAATTCATGTAGTTATAACAACTACAAATATGTAGTTATAACAAATTTGATAAGATAAAAGTCTTCCAATTGTGTTTTAGTTGCGTAATGGTTGCATATGTATTTTGGGAGTTGGCTGTCATTTATAAACAAGATTCATGCCAATATATTAAGGTATTTACTTTGCCTGTCAAAGTTATTCTGTCATTTAAATGTTAGATCTAGTGCGCAAATGTCAGTATCAGAGTCTTTCTATACCGATGACTTCATATCTTTAGATGCAACTAGCTCATTAAAGTTGTAGTAGGAAATTTGGTGCTTGCATTTCTACATGTATTAAATGTCAAGCACTCTAATGTACAACTGATAAGCTTGTCTTACTGCCTCAGAAAAATTGCATGTTACTTAGAAGTGAAGATGATGGGAGGTGATGATGATGGTTTGATTATAAAAATGAATGTGAAAGTATGTGTTTGAGAGGTCTGAGTGTGTGGACTACTTGGTGTTTGATTCTGAACAGCATCTGAATGTGACAAGAAGCACTGTATCCATTAGAAATACACTCTTTTGTCATTTCCCTGTCACCATGGTAACAGATTGTGAAATGTGTTTTTCTATGTATGTACTAGTCCCAACCAGAACTGTGTGCCAGTGAAGTAATTTTTTATTCATGCTACCACATGATTTAAAGAGACAGTGAGCTGCCTCAGTGGCCAATTTGTGAATTTTTTTCACAGCAAGATAAATTGGGGGTGGACTGACTTTTATCTCCCTTCACAGCCATTGAGAGTAGATGCTATGAGCGGAATTCTCTCTCTTTCTCTCTCCTTCGATCTTTATCTATCACTGTTTATAAACAGTACTCCAAGAAGCACAGACATCCAGACTTAAATATATTGCAGTTTGGTAAACGGAACACAACAACTGCACAAGACAGAGGATTTCTGCAGAGATTTCTAAAACGATTATTTCACACTGTATCCCACCGTGAAATTCAATGCATAATGAAATCCCAATATTTTATTAGTGTGAACGACACAAATGAATCACAGTGATAGTGTTTGTAAATTTCTTCAGCTTGTGTCAGTGTTTTGAAACATGATTGGATAAAACAGGGTGTCAAATTGCCCTGTGCTTAGCTTGAATTCCAGTTGAATTTTGCAGAGATGTGTGAAAAGGCTTGTTTCTGACAGCCTGGGCTGAAAATGGATCTGACAGGCTGCAAATGTCTTCAATAACATCTCAAATTATGAATGACGGGAGTTAACATTGCCTTATGATCAGTGCCACCATATCATGAGAAATAAAGCTTTAACCTAGTGTGCAACCTAATGTTAATTAGTACAATTGCATTTTAAAAGTTTAGATGTTTTACATCGGCTGATCAGCATCACATAGTGCATAGGTGCATATTGAGAAACAAAAATAATTTAAAAAATAAAAATAATTTCAGACATAGCCTTAAGTTCAACAATATGGAAATAAATCAAACAATATATTGCCACTTTTTGTAATAGATCTTTATGCATCTACCTGAATAATGTCTTAAATGACTTATCTAAGGACTTTCATGCATTTGCATTTAATTGTTATTTAAATCTGTTTGTAACATTGTTATAATGCTAATGTAAATCAGCTAATTTGATTTTTGATTTTTACATAATTTTAGCCCATAACTGTGGGCTAAACAGCCCGATTTTTATACTTTATTTATACTTCAAATATAATTTATCCACATCTCTTTGGTGATTCAGAGTAGGCTAATCTAAATGCATGAAAAATATGTTTAAAACATATTTCCTTCTTCCATCTCATGCATCCTTTTTATGGTGCATTTGGCCAGTTTATTGTACAGTCGTATGGATATTACTGCAAGCCCATGTCCCTTTTCATGAAATATGGTAATAATTCAAAATAAATAAAGATTACATTTATAAAAAAATCCCTCAGAGGACCTCAGATGATGCCAACCCTGAAACAACATACAGAACTACCACATTTTGCTATAAGTTTGATTGCATCATATAATTATTGCTGTTAATAGTGTTCATCGTCTGTTTGATTACGTCTTCAATTGATTTTTCCGTACATTTCTGCCATATGTACATAAACTGACAGTCACCACTGATAAGCTACTACTAAATATTGTAGAAACTTAATTTTCTGTAAAGTTGCTTTGCAACGATTTGTATCGTAAAAAGCGCTATACAAATAAACTTGAATTTAATACATTTTAGATTTAGGCGGTTTGCTCATATAGCTGCAAATTTCAGAATTCTGCCTCAGTTGCAAGGGGATGAGTCCACTGCCCTTTCTCATAAAAATAACCTAAAGGAAAGTTCCATATCTTCAACTCTTTGTGCACTTTCTACAGCTTCTCTGCTTCCCACTATGCAGTCCAGCTCTCAGGGTAGTGGCTGTGAGTGTGAAAAACACTGCTAGATATACCATATATAACTTTAAACTAAACTGTGGAAACATGACTGGGCCAAAGCGCTCAGGAAGTATTTGAAGGTTTGAGTTCTACCACATAGATGTTTATTGGCTTTTTGGCTCTCTCTCTCTCTCTCTCTCTCTCTCACTTTGCGCGTGTGAGAGAAAGTGTCAGCGAGTCATGCGCCTTCGTTTACGTTACGCCAAATACACAAACACACAGCTACGGCGTAGGTCCGACGCAGAAGTATAAATCAGCCTTTAGCCTCCAACTCACACACTGGCGGGCGAGTAAAATCTGAGAATTTATTAGCCATTGGCTAATATTAGACATCATTTAGTCGCCTAGAGTGAAGATTTAGTCGCATATGCGAGTGATTTACTCGCAATGTAGAGGGTTGATCTATCACCTATTGCGACTGCAGCTGTGCAGGTAATCTTGCTCAGTATGCGGCTGCACATAGCTGTGTCCTTTTAACAAGAAAACAGAAACCTTTATTTTCCCACCAGGACAACAGCCTGAGCTCAGGACCGCTTTACGAAACCACACATGCTGTTGCCATAGTCACAGTGTGAGGTGAAATAAGCTGAGTTTGATATGAGACATCAGGAGGCTGGTAGTGGTTTGATTCTGCGATTCTTTCATTCTTTACTTATGGGAACTTCTCTACGATCTCAGCTGAGTATAGGAAATGTGTTGTGGATGGAGTGCGAGTTTGTATAGGGCTTTGAGAGCAGATGCTGTGGTTGCTCAAGCGCAGTGGCAGGTGTTGCCTCTGTCTGCCTTCCTCATCCATTAAAGATGTGAGTTCTAAACCTAAACAGGTGGGTTTAGGTTACAGCTGGAAAGACACCATTCTGTCTCAGACTTGTCTGGTTTTCGCTATATTCATATGTTGCTTATTTAAAGCAATTTGTGTTTGCATGCTGCATTCACCTCAGTTGAGGCAAAATCTGATATCTTTAACACTGTGTTTAAGCTTTGACTTAATGACACATTGTCTCATCATTTCAGTTCAGACAGTCTGCGTTGTAGACAGCCGATGTCAGTTGCTCAGCTCAACTTTCCTTTGGTGTCATTTAATTGTTGTCTTTGTGTTGTATAAAGAGGGCAATTTCCACAATGAAATCCTTTTCCTTTACAAAAAACAAAGAAAAATTAAATTTAAATATTTATTTTATTTTATTTATTCATGATGCTTCTACAAGTCAAACCTTTTGCCAGAATTTCATATTTTTTCTCAAACATTTCCCCCAGGTTTCACAGACAAGGCTTAAGCCTAACCCCCGACTAAAATGTAAGTCTGAGCTGTTTCAACTGAAAGAAACTTGCACTAATTGATCTTGAAATATGTCATGTGCCCTTGTTTTGTCTCAATGTGCACACCAGTAATGTTTTTTCTAAGGCATGTTTATAAAAATTACTTTAAAATCCTAATTGAACTATGGCCTAGTCCTGGCTTAAGCTAAGCCCCGTCTGTGAAACCGGGCCTTTGTCTTCAAAATAATTGTTAATAATAATAACCCATTAGGTTTGTTCTCACATGACACTCAAGCACGTTTGAGATTACTCAAGAACCTCAGCTGTCAAGCATATGGTTGATCTTCCGTATTTGTGTTGATCTGTGTTTGTAAGTAAATAAAAGCCTAAATTAAATTTGTTCACTGTAGTAAATCAGCTCAAAGTGGGGGGGACTGGTTAGAATCTCCTTGATGGCGAGGAACCATTTGGCAATTTAGACCCCCATACAAACGTAAAGTCTGTGACCAGGACCGTAATTTATATGCAAATGTCAAAAGGCTAAAAGGGTCTCTTAAGCCATAAAACCCCAAAGATCATGCATGATTCTACGCAGACGCTACATCACCATATAAAGCTTTTGTACTGAATCTCTTCAGAAGACGTCTTTCAAACTGCCTGATTCATTTAGATTACTTTTATAATGCCTTTATGAACTTTTTGAAGTGGCACCGTTTTAGTGGAATGGACTTTCAGTGGAGGGACAGAAATCTCTCCGGTTGCATTAAAATATCTTCATTTGTGTTCTGAAGATGAATGAAAGTTTTATGGGTTTGGAATAATGTGAGGGTAAGTAAGTAATAACAGTATTTTCATTTTTGGGTGAATTTATCCCAAAGAGGAACCAGGAAACAGGCTGTGGGCAGGACATGCAACCAAAGTTGACATTATTGCACTACCTCACCTCAAAAGTTTCACAAAGGGAGTTCATCTCATCTGAATAATGCTTTCTCCAGTGTCTTTTCAATTCAAAACTTTTTAAATAATGTAGTCGTGATTGATGTCTGAGTCATGGCAATCCAGTGCTACAATTTTCCCACATATTTTACAATCCTGTAAAAA